ACGTGGAGAAGGGGAGGATTTAAGGAACGGCGAGGGGGGAAAATGGTCGCGGATGTGTGGACCACGTCCACAACTTTGATTCTCTCCTCGTTCTCTCCTATCGCGGAGGACAGACGAGAGAGACAAAAGTGATCGTGTTAGAGAAGGAGGGAGCGGAAGAAGAGAAAAAAGAAAAGAAGCAGAACAAGAAGGGAAGAAAGACGTCTAGCTGGGGCGGATGTGAGGGCGTGCTTCGTTCCTACATCCATTTGTCTCGTTATAGTTTACCGATACAACGGATGAAATGAGCCGAGTGGACTGGCATCGTCCACTCTCGAGAGAGTGCGCGCGATGACACTTTAAAACCACTTTAAAACTTGGAGACCGGATTCGCACGTGCACGTGGAACGGGGGGAACGGGGATAGCCGCTTGCACGCCGGAAAGGCGAAAGCAAGAGACCGTCCTCTTCCAGTGTTGGAAATTTATTGGGAAATAATGGAGCGCGTTTGCTCTCCGTAAGTCGCAGGCATCGCTTATTTTCTTTCTCACTCTCTTTCTCTCTCTCTCTCTCTTTCTCTCTCTGAGACGGAATTTGCTTCGGGACGTAAGAAAGAGAAGAGAGAGAGACCATACCTCCCCTTTTATATATCCTTTATACCGGACAATCCTTTGAAGTCTAAATTGACCGTTCCTCGGTCGGCAACCATTACCAAGATCTTTTCTCTTGCCCTCTTATTTTTCTTCTTGCCGGAACTTCCTCCTGTCTTCCGGGCGTCCCTTGCGTCTTTAAAGCGTTGCTTGGTCTCGCTCCTCTTAACGACTGTCAAAGGATCGTTGTTGAAAATTGTCGATGCTGCTTGGTAGTTTATGTAGGAATGAATTGTGCAAGAGAAATTCATGTTTTTTTTTTTAATTTGCTGATTTTCTAATCACAAAATAATTGTATGTATTTTAAAATAACAAATATCTGTTTTTATCCTAGTTAAATATTAAATCTTCCCTTTTCAGTAAAACTTAGTTAATCCTGGATGCTTTTAGTTGTACCAAAAACCAATTATTATATGTCTCTGATATATATACGCGATTGTGGAGCGAAGTTTAGAACAGTTGCAAAGTCGCAACGTCGTAATTGCAACCGAAATGGCAATCGACAATACGGCTGCGGTTAATTAGAGAAATACAAACGAGCTTTATTGCTGATCTTCAATGGTAGAGGGACACAACAATTCCAAAGTAATTACAAGTTGCATTACCCACCACAATGAACGCTTTACAATGGTATTATAACGGCTATTTTCGTCACTATTTTGTGCCTTGTTAGAAAATGCAATTGCGATAAAAGAATTTGATCATAATATTTTATATATGCAATTATATTATTTTATATTATTTATATTAAATGCATTACCTTATATGCATTGACTTTTTATAATTTTTGCAATTGTCATCTATTGTTTCTTTTCTGTTCGCACCTTGATACTAATTACTTGATATGCAATTTTTATATTCAAGAATAAAAATTCCCTAAGAAATAATGCGTACTTTTTATGGAAAGTACATTATTATGCGTTTACTGCATTCAGTCTTGATACATATCTCGGCAAAATCTTTCTACATATAATTATTTTCTCACATATTACAATTCTAAATAATCTCTATAAAAAAAACTTTCAAAAAAGAAAATAAAAATCACATAAAGTATATAAAAAATATTCAATCTAGCGTGCAATCAATAAAAAAATAAAAAGCTCTTAGATACTATTAAAATATTGGCTCTTCCCAAATAGATATAAGATCAATGAAACTAACTCGTACCATATGTCAATACGCAAATAAAAAATGTATTATATTGAAATGTTCGACGAATCGAGATACGTTCATTTCTACTTTCTATAATTTATAGAAAATATATTTAATTTACTTCCTGTAGAAATTATTCTGTAATCTTAACAGAGAAAAGATTACTTAACTAAATAAGCTCTGATATTAAAAATTGCTAATTCCTAAAATATCTTTGGATGGGAAAAGATCGATTCTGAAAGAGCAATTAATAATCAAATCAGTAAGGAAAATAAGATGCAAAATAAATTAATTGAACATTGCAATATAACATTTCTTTTTCATAGATTTTTTATTAATTTCTGAGATATCATAGTCAAAAGTATATAACCGACATAAAAATTCCGAAATAAAGAGAAACCGTTATGCATTACGATAATTACAGGCCGGTCTGTCATTATTCTTATATACGTACATTGAGGCATCAGCGCGTCTCCTTCTTTCGACGAGATTTGAGAATTCACGTTCTCTTCGCGCTTCATTGCAGATCCCAATTTATCCTAGATGCTCGGAACACGTACGCTCGCTGAGGGGCCGTTATTTCTAATAGGAGATTTTCAAAAGTCGCATCCCCGCGACCCCTCGTTAGGGGGGTCAGTAATTGCACGGTAACAACGCGCTAAGATGCTGTCCGCTAGAATCCGACCGGACGAGATGATATCGGTGGGAGGAAGGGGGGGGGGGAAAGGTAGAGAGAGAAGCGTGCGCGAAGGGCGCACGGTAAGTTAACGAATGGATGGTGACGGGGAGGAGGAAAAGAGGAAGTGGCGGAACGTTATCACTGGAGATCACGCTAATCTAACGCCTTCATCCCTTGCACGATCGTGCAACCCTCGGTCTGATCCGACTTAACTTTTTGTAACGACTTCTTCTTCTACCTCCTATAACCAAGCTCATCCCCGCTTCCCCGCCACCATCCACCGCTCCCGTGCGTCTTCATCCTCGTCCGAAGCTCGTTCCGACGTTAACCCGGCAGCTTTCATTCCAATCCGCACAGCTAGAAGAACCCAACCCCGTAATTATCCGATAAGCGAAAGGGAACGCCCGGTTATCCGGCGGGCTGTGTTGATACATAGGACGATCCCCGAGTCTGTTTCCAATTACGTCGTGGGACAAGAGAAAATGACTGAATTCGTTCGCCTTGGCTTTATTTCCGCGTGCTTTACACGTACTTCTGCACATTATTCCCTTTCTTCCTCCTTTTCTCTCTCTCTCTCTTTCTTTCTCTTTCGGTTCTCCGGATTGTTAGTGCGCCAATAAATGAGTTCCTCTGACGATCTATCTCGCAAAAGCCTTTCTATTAAGTATATATTTTTACAGTTTGTATTTTTCTACTCTTCTTTTCTCCAAGTATAAATTTTTTTTTCTTTTTTTTATGTTCCTTTTATTCGATTCAGTTATGATAATTTTTCAACTAAATATATATGCATTACTATCCGTTCTTTTTTACTGCAAGGACATTGATATTAACATTTAGAATTTGTATTAAAATTAACGCAAGATAAAAAGATAAAATATTTTAGAAATTGAAATTAAATATATTAAATTTATTAATATAAAAGTCACACATAATATTCCAAAGTGCATACATTCCCTTATTAATCGTAAAAAATAGTTTAGATTGTGAACCTCACAAAATTTTCAAAACAATTGTTTATTATATTAATTCTGAATTCATTCAACTGTCAAGTCCGATAAAATGTCAATTTTACAAGCGTGCCATTAGAATCGATCGACGTGACAATAACAAATCATTTGCTCGATGAATCGCCGGCCAATAAATAACGTTTTTGTAATAAATACTCGTATTACGCGGCCACGCGGGACATTTTGCCCCAAATGAACACAATCCGCACTCGAAATCCGACAGATACCGTCGCGATGTTATCGTGATAATCGACGTTCGATAATATTCTCCAATAAATTTGCCCTGATAATAAAGAAGATTTATATTATTGGAGTACCGCTAATTCTCTATAAATGCTCGTTTACGCGACGAGCTCTACGAGACCAATTTGTTCCGCTTTGACTGTGATTGATCTAAAAAGCGCGATAACGTTGCGAATTTCCTTTTGTCTCTCCTGTGTGCTTCTCGATCTCCGTCTGTCCATTGTTTCACAAGAAATCAAAATTGTTTAACAATATCCGAGAAAAAATGGACTTATGTAGTTATATAATATTATATATATGCTGGCTATATATGATCTTATATCCATTTTTTCTCGATTGATTGAGATACTATTCGCGATAAAGAGAAGAACTTTGAGTCGGTGACGCGAATAAAAGTAGAGGATGAAAGCGCAAGAAGATGGAACCGATACTGCTGCGGTTCGGAGAGATCTATCGTTTTACCGCGACAGAGATTGTTCTGGGTTCTCGAAAAAAGGATCAAAATGGATTAAACGAGGATAACGTAGCAGCGGAATCTGGGCATATAGGACGCATTGCGGTACCAGTGACAGAGTTACGTTGTTGCGTGTAACGAAATAGATTACTCTGGGTAAGAGAAGATCGTAATTTCCTAAGCAAATAGCATCGATAGCAATAACTATTTGCCGCTTAATAAGAGTAATTAATGATTTCAAGATGCTAAAATGGACTTCTGTAATTTGTTTTCCATTATTTGTTGCACCGATAAAAATTTTTATCGGTACAGTAATTATTAAAATGGTTTACGACATAAAATTGTTTCTTTTGTTATGACTTTTTAAAAGAAGAATTATTTCTCGCAAAATTATTGGAAATTACATATTACTCATTTATACAACCCATTTATACAACCATTTTAACAACTATTATACCGATAAAAATTTTTATCGATGCAAGAAATAATGGAAAACGAATTATAGAAGTCCATTTTGGCATCTTGTGAAATCATTAATTACTCTCATTAAGCGGCAAATAATTATTCGTAGCAGTATATTACGCAAGTGTAGCGAAATAGACCCGTGCAATTATATATTATCAAATAGATATCGTCATTCGTCAGTGCTGTATAAATATCACACTGCTGCACTACAGTGCAAGCATTGGATGTGCAAGTTTACGATATGAGGCTAACAGTGGTGTATCTAATCGTGACAATCCTGGTCTGCGCTATGATCCAGGAATCTGTAAGTGTTAACTTATAATTTTGATAATTTCTGTGACGGAGAATAATGATGCGTTACTCTTTCACAAGGAACAATTCCATTGGCGCAGAAGATATGAAGGAAACCGTAGGAGAAGGATGACTACAACGACAACAACAACAACTGCACCGGAGTTTTTAGGGAACGGTAGAAGAAAGCGCGAAATTATAGCTGCTCCGCTTTTATCAGCATTGACTAATAAGCGCGAAGAAATTGAAAAGTCAAGTCTCCATGAAGAGAAGTAATGCAAAATGCAGAAACTTCATTATAATATTCTATATGATTATCCTATCTAAAAAAGGCATGTAAAGTCGATACTCGAAAGTCTCGAAGTGTATCGTTGTCGCTTTTCCGCGATGCTGATTGGTTCTGTCATTGCGCTTACTTCGTGAGCGGCTGTCATTGCATATTTTGACAGTCATTATTTTGTGTATATATCGTTAAAAATGTTTAATGAAAAAGAATAAATAGCGCGCGCGAAGCGCGCGATGTGTTGTGCTAGTAACCAAAAAGGGCAATGAGATTCATGAAAAAAGATCGAGAATCACTGAATTTCATAAAAAGAAGTAAAGGCGTAAATCTCACCTTCATATAAGCCGACATCTCTGATAGTACCCCATTGAATAGCAAGACTGGGCAAACTAGCGGCACGTCTCTGCTCCATCATTCTCTCCATAGCTGAATTCGCAAGACAGTAATTGGATTGACCCGGATTGCCACGACCACACGATAAGGACGAAAACACAACAAAGTGATCCAGTAACGGACAGGACTTTCTTGACGTCGCATCCAGATTTCTTGTCCCGTTGACTTTTGGCAAGGTTACCATTTCGAAGTCGGCTATCTGCAGATTCTCAAGCAAACCGTCGCGTAGCACAGCTGCCAGATTAAATATACCGCCTACCGGAGCCAACTGGTTGCTCTCATTGATCAAACGTTCGGCATCTGATAACGTCGTGATGTCTGCCGTAGAGATAATAATTTTGATTCCCCTGTCGCGCCAATGTTGCACGCGGAATGCCTGGTAACCGGTGCGTATGCCGGTACGGGACACGAGAATGATGAATCTTGCGCCGCGATCAATCATCCAATTAGCCAATTCTAGACCAAATCCACCAAGACCGCCGATCAGCACGTATGATTTCTCCGGATTCATGTAAGTACGCGGTATGGCCGCCACTGTCTTTGGCATCGGCAGCACATTCTTCTGCAATTCCTCGTCTCGTATCTTCAGCAATATCTTGCCGATGTGTTTTCCCGTCGCCATAAATTGGAATCCCTGTTCGAGATATTCCTCCCGAAATACCTTTGTCGGTAACGGACGCACCACACCATTCTTGATTCCCTCCGTAACAAATCTAATCGTTTCTCGCTTATCCACGCAATCCTCGAACAGCATTTCCAGCTGTATACCGTGGAAAGCGATGTTCTTTAAAAATATCGACATATCTATGCGGTTGCCATTTAATATGTTGTATTTCCCGGTCTCGAGAAATCGACCGTTAGTCGCGAGGCATTGTATGCTGGCATGCAGTTTCTCTTCTGCAAGCGAGTTTAGCACCACATCGACTCCACGTCCCTGGGTCTCGTTAAGGATCAATTGTTCGAAACTCGTATCTCGGGAATTACCGATGTTCTTGTCAATCAATTGCGGAAATGTTTTCTTGAGGTACAGCCGCTTTTCCAGCGTGCCAACAGTAGTAAAGACTGTGCAGCCGGCATGCAGCGCGATGGCGATTGCCGCTTGACCGACATCGCTCGCACCGGAGTGAATCAACACGCTCTCGCTCGATTTCAATTGACCTCGTACAAATAAAGCGTAGTAACTGGTCGCGTAAACGACCGGTATTGTTGCCGCCTCTTCCAATGTCCATTTGTCGGGTACTTTCCAGAGAAGATCCGGCAGCACGGTGGTCGCCAATCCCATTGTCTTAACTATACCCATAACTCTATTACCGTTCGCGTCTCTTCCGGAGAATTCAAGTCCTAATAAATACTTCTCCATCCCTGATAATGAGACGGTGTTTGTTGATAGTTTACCGGTCGCTAGCATAACATCCCTATTGTTAACACAAAATTTATTTATCAATGGTATTTATCAATATGGCAATATGTTATGTCCATATTATTAACTTGAATGAGAGACGAATAACGCTTATCAAAACTTACTTGAAATTTAAAGATGCGTAGTACACACTGCAGAGTGTATTTGTATATTTGGTCTGACAGTACATTAATGGGCTTTGAATCCACTTCAAGCTACTTAAATCTCCTGTCTTCAGTGTATTCACATAAGCGTGCTCCACTTGCACGTCGCTACGGCAATTTAATTGCAAATGCCGATAGCTGCCCCACTGACCTCCCTTTAATACATTCGCCGATAATTCTTTATCCAATTGTTCCACGTAAAACTCTGCGGATAAATCGAACTTGGGAGCGTTACTGTCTTGAATGAAGACGTAACGCACGTTTGTAGTCTCGTGTCGGATGGAGTTTATAAATCCAATCAGACCTGCAAATTAAAAGTAAGGATAGCTGACAAGACACCTAATAATCTGCTGATAAACATTCCATCAAAATTAAAAAAATGTTATTATTTAAAAAAAAAAGATTAAATCAATATTTTTTTGGATAGATATTTTTGAAAATTGAAAAAGGAGGGAAATGAATTTTTTAATTATGGTACGGCCCTATACGATGTTCCTGTGCCGCAGTTATGCTATTCGTTGCGGTAGAAAAAAGATCATTTCCAGAACAAAGTGCGAATCTTTTTAACAACTACGGCAGACATTTTGAATTTCGAATAATTATCAAGTTCAGGCGTGTTACTGATAGCTCGTTCTTTTAATTACTTCATGTATTCCTTATGTGTTCTATGATTAAAGTTTCTGGTATTTTATAAAGAGCGTTTCTTATTTCATAAATGTTGATTGTGTCGCGCGCGTTCGATAGTTCGAGATGGATCCATAATGTAAGCCAAGTTTCATAAAGTACATTTTGTCTCCAAAATTATTTTTTTTTAATATTTCTGCCATTTTTTGGCCGAGCTATACAATTTTGAAACTAGACCTGTATTTTTTAGAAATGAGAAAATAAAAAATTTTTATTTTAACTATTGATAGCATGGTTAAAGTTGAAACTTCAAGATTCAAAATGCTTTTTTATCTACGATAATTTTTCGCCGAGTTTTAGCGATTTAAAAATAGCCCAATTTTTGATATATAAAAAGTGTTTCTTTTTTTTAATAGTATATATGCGTATGTATAAAAGTGAATCTGTATGTAATTTTTTCTTTAAAATTGTACCAGGTGATTCTTCGTCTTGGGATACAAAAAGTACTTCTTGACTGTTGCTGTCAAAGTTTCTTAGTATTGCTTTTGCATTCTCCAACCATGAGAAATCTTTTTCTGTGATATATACGACGATCGGTTCTCTTCCTTCCCTTCGTTTTTTTAATAAGAGATAAACCTTTCCCGAGGAGTCAATTTGTTTTCCAGCCAACGTCAGATTGGCCTCTCTTTTGAAACCACTCACGACAACTTCTCTCACTTAAGGCAGCCTCACCATATGCTTCTACAAGCAATCGGTACGCCTCAGCTGCAGATTTCTTCAAATTGAAGAAGTAAATCAGAAGTTCCCGCAAATGACGCTTATTCGGTTCAAAACTCGACATTTTCGCACACAAAAGAATATATTATACTGATAAAAAATCACTAATATTTTAAGGTTATGTTATTGACTGATGTCCAATCTTACGATAAGGACGTTTTACATCTGACAATTTTAACCGTAACTTACTGGTGGCGCCAACTTTTGTCAAACGGCGGAAACTTATTTGTACAACTAATATAATAAAACATATTGATGTAATATATATTATATGTAAATTTATATAATTTAATTTATAAAATCAAAGATTTTATATTATATTCACACACACACATTGGAAAGAAGAGTTTTAAAAGAAAAGTGTTTAATAAGTTAAAAAGTATATATTGTAGAGACTTGCGATCCTCTTTGCATTCTCTTCTGATCTGTTAAGGAAATACGATGTTTGCCATCAATAATTTTTTTAATTTATTTGTAGTCAAGGCACGGATCTCTCGGAACGATAAATTAATATTATAGTCTCTTTCACAAATTTGTTTTATCTCCATGGAAGCCAGTGAATCGATACCCAACTTTTCGAAGTTGTCATCGGGATGGACTTTTTCATAACCAAGAATGTTGCAAATGATTTGGTCAAAGTCAACTTTATCGCTGTTATTCATGGATTTCTCGGGTATCACCATGGATGATAATACCGGGTACGGTTGTTGAAGAAAAATGTCCATGGTTGCAAGACAGCTGGTCATATATTGCGGTAAAATAGCGTTTGTATAGATGGTCGGATTCTTTGTACCTATAAAAATAATTAATATTATCATATAATAATATCGAGAGATAAAAAACGATTATTGTCGACTTTGACGATCCGCGAAGACATTTTATACAATATTCAAATACTTTTTAATTTGTTATTCTTTTTTAATAACATAACATTAATATTTTGTAATTATTTTAAACAAAATTAATAGTATATCTTCAGCAATTATTTTTTTTTATACTGTCTCTGTTAATAAAATTATAATAAAATAATATAATATAGAATAGATTTCTTCTTCGAAGAATCGTGCAAGACCACTATGTCGACATTTTTTATAAGACAGAATGAAGGCATTTTTGAGCAAAATTCTTATCCTATCTAAAAAAAGGCATGTAAAGTCGATACTCGAAAGTCTCGAAGTGTATTGTTGTCGCTTTTCCGCGATGCTGATTGGTTCTGTCATTGCGCTTACTTCGTGAGCGGCTGTCATTGCATATTTTGACAGTCATTATTTTGTGTATATATCGTTAAAAATGTTTAATGAAAAAGAATAAATAGCGCGCGCGAAGCGTTGTTCTAGTATAAGTAAAAATAGAAACGATTTCGTATTGTAAACCATCTTAACAACTGCTGTACCGATATAAATATTTTAATCGATGCAGGAAATAATGGATAAGAAATTATTTAAGTCCATTTTACTTTTGACATATAATCTAACTCTGCTAATATATTATTCATTATATGTATATGGAGAAAAGACGAAAGGGATAGAACCGTATTTGAAAAAAATTTATATTTAGTAAAGAATAAACTAAGAAAATTGTACAGATTATTATGTTTGAATGTACAAATGTGGTAACTTTTATTAAAGAAAAACAAATTGTTATTATTAAAATCATTATTTATTATTATTTATTATTAGAGAGATTAATTATTAAAACTATTTGAAAATCTAAAATATCTGCAATTCATATTTTTTCTTATGTAATTGATTACCTCGTGGATTGAATAACGTGCGAGAATGCTTGTTTGATAAACTTTAGAAAATTAATCGCATTAATAATTATCGTCAGAAAGAATACGAGATGTCAGCTATTGTTTCTATCAGGAGTAGAAATAATATATGCGACGGATAATGTATACAAAAAACGTAAAATGTCAAACCTTGCACGATCCTCGTCGACGGTAAAACGCGACAGAGTAATAGTTTTTCCAGTTGTAAAATGCGTCGATGCGGTCTCTTGCGGACATTCTGGTTGCATGCTGTCGCGAAAGGTCTACGTGCGATAGTTTAGCGACTACACATCCGCGCGTATAAACTTTATGAACTGTCTTTATGATCGCATAAAGGTTTCATGAACACCTTTCGGAGTCTTTACGGTCTGCTCGTTTCGTGCCTGACTCGTCGCCGATTTTCTGCGGGTTCGAAAATTGCTCAGGATTAAGAAACACATTTATGACAGAAAACTAATCAATAATTATATTTTTAAAAATCGAAAGATATAAAATCAATGCAACGCAATAAATATTTCCGCGCGAAGACATAATAATCGTTGACACGTTTTATAATCATATATCTTTTTTTTTTATTAAAATCCACTTGTTAATAACAATCTACTAATCGATTAATGTGTCAACTGCGGAAACTGCGTTTGACAAACTCTTGATCACCCTTTAAAATATTGTCATCATCAAGTTTAATCGCGTAATAAAATGTTTTTGTTCCCTTTGTTTGTCCAGGCGCTTTCCACAGCTTTCTCGGCTAAAAGTTTGCACGGGGAAAAATAAATAAATCGCTATGGCGCATCGCCAGATCTTACTTCCTGCCTTTCCTAGCATTTTTCTTTTCACCTCCTCCTCTTTTCCAACTACAATTTACCGACGAAAGGCCAAGGATGACATTCGGTAACTTTCGTTTTCCCTTTCAGACACAGCGACTCGCTAAACTAATATCGGTCTCATCGAACAATAAATTTTACGGCATAAAAAAGAAAGATTTGTTTTATTCACACACAAGATAAATAAATTTATAAATAAATAAATAACAATAATATATTTTTGACGATTGACGAACGTTGTTCTTGGAATAAAACAAATTCTATTACACAAAACTTATTTTGATATTTACTTCTACGATCACGCAAAAAAATTTGCCAAAATTTTTCTTTAATTTTTGTGGCAAGGACTAAAAATTAAAACTGACCTTAAGAACGCAACTCGGTGAAGAATTGTCACGCATAGCAAAATCGGGATAAACTTAATCATTAAAAAAGTGGAAAGCGGGAGAGTGGGAATAAGAATATAAAACATGATGAAAATATGTTTGAGATTACCGTTTGAAACCACGATGGAAAAGCGCTTTTAAGAGAGACATTTACTGTTTTAACTTTTACGCGCTCATTAAACCAATGGCCAAACTCAAACCAGGCCGACAGCATCATTCTAGAATTTATCTTACGCTCGCCTTATGCGTTTAGTTACCGCTTGTTACGACGAGAAATATCCTCGTTTACATGGCACGGTGTTGCGAGAGACGCGAAATGGCCCCGATCTTACAGAGGCGTCTACGAGCACGCAGCGCAAGCTGGCACGAAGGAAATAAAATCGTAGCCTTTGCACACCGAAAATACCAGCGCGCCAAGTGATTTTTGCCGGGATTTCGAGACGGTATGGAGACAAGGAAAGCGAGAGAGAAAGAGAGAGCCTCTCATTTGCGTTTCAAATTCTAATGATGCTATCGACCTAACTTGAGAACACTTCGCACAGAACGTTATCGTTACTCCCTCCCCCCTTCCCCTTTCTCTCTTCCCAGCAGGATTAATAAAGAGAGGCTTCCCATTTTGTACTGCGATTTAACGAAAAATATCCTTGTGCGCAGAGTTTGTTATTAATTCCTGCGTGATTAGCATTTGATGCAGTTAAAATATCAAGGAAGGAATAATAAAAATTTTATCTTCTTCATGTCATATGACTTTCATCGAAAAAATTTGAATCTGTATTCACAACCAGAATTGCCACTTTATTGATTTTGGCCCAGAGTTGGGTTTACACAAGAGAAAAGGATCTTTAGGTCTATTCAGAGAAAGATCTTTGAGCGTTTGGCATGAATTATTTTATTTTTCTTATTTTCTTAAAAAAGGTAATATAATACACACAAAGAATTACATTAAATAATTACAAATAATTACATTAAAAAACATAGGAAAGAATGCAATTTTAATGGTAATCTTTATGTGTTGTCATTATTATGTTATTCGCTATATTTTTTAGTAGCAATATTTCCTGTGAAAAAAAATATATTTATATAATTTGAAAAAGTAATTAAATGTGTGACAAATATCTCTTCTTTTTCTTTTTTGTTTCTTTCTTTCTTTTCTTTTTCTAAAAACAGGCTTCGAGCAAAGATTAAAGTGGCAACCTGTTCACGATGCATGCATAATGTAATATCTTATTTATTTTTATATGTGTATATTTGTTATACTTATAATTTTCTATTTGTTAATAATTCTTGATAGTGTTAATTTGACAATAATTTGCATGCTACTGTACACGGTACATTATAGACCAACCTTTCAAATTTGATCATAAAATAGAAAAAAATATGAATATTTTTTGATATGTATATATTATATATAAATCAATTCGACGGCAGCAAATCAAAGCGCTTCCGGTTAGAGATAAGCTAAAAAAAAAAAATCAATTGTAATCGGTCTCTTTCGGCGATATCTAGAGCTATCGCAGAGTATGGCAACCGAGCGCGAATCGATGCGTAAACGTGGGCTTCAAAGTCGAATCAGTTTAGCCGCCGGTCCCATCGAACGAATCCGAATCGATATTGCGCGGCCAGATCCCGTCGAGTATTGCCGATCGGTCGGTTGAAAAGAGTCACGGACGCGGAAAAACAGTTGCAATTTATTCAATGTCAGAATCGCGGCGAGGCCGGGTCCGATCCGATCCCATCCACGCCGTCCCTCCTCCCCCTATCCTCTTCCCCACCCAACGCGCCGTTAGAATTGGACTCTATCGGGCCATAACAATTATTAGCGTTGCGACGCGGCGTGGAAGTGGCACAATAATATGCATAGAACATAGAGGGCTTACAGCATTTCCATTACATTAGCCCTCGCACGAGTGCGCGGGCGCGCCAAACGATCCGGAAATAAAGCGGAATTGCATATCGGAAACTTGGTTGCCTGGCCCATCGCCAGCCAAGTGCCTCCTAATTCTGTCCTTTGGAAAAATCGACACTTTATTTCCATCGCGTCTTCGTAAGTTTGTCAACGCGGCGGATCAACGACGACGCAAGGGCCGATCTGGAGGATAAAGGGAGAAAGAAATGAGGTGCGCGAAGATTGTTTTCAATGAAAAAAAAAATCTTATTCTCGGCTGTAAATATTTTAAATTGGATAAATATATATTGCGCGCATATATGTAGAGAGAATATTTTTAAGCCACGGGTAATTTTCGCGCGATTCAATCGCGAGAGATGCAAAACATTCACACCGTCGGAGCAAGAAGTTGCTTCGAACTGTTAGCGCTCATAATCAATCGCAGTTACGCCTGCGGGATTACAAGCTGACAACGAACGTTGATGCGTGCAATTAGAAGGGAACCCGCGACAAATCGCCTGTACCGTACCATTGGTTCGTCGTAAACTGGTAATTAGCCGCGTGCATTCGGTGAAAGCACTAACACGCTCCGTCACCGATTTAATTAGTCTATAACTCTTGCGCCAGGATCAGGATTCGGGTGCCCCGCGATAACATAAATTATCGTCGAACCGACGCGCGTTATTCTGGCTCATCTGGCGCCATGGAGTGATTACGTTTTACGGTATATCAGCGAACGACCGGCGTGTCGATTCGAAAGACCCACCGGATTTTAATTGAGCCTGCCAATCGACGCGTCGCGCGTTAACGAACGGTTATTATTAAAATCGGTTTGTGATTACTCTATCGAGAAGTGGTTACGATTTCTCTCTCGCGATTTCTGCGAATTTCTGCAAAATCCCGAGAAATTACGTGCGCGTTCGCGCGCGGCCAATTCACTCGATGTAAAGGAAAATCGTGCTATTTCAGCGAAGTTTTAGCAGACAGGGATATTTCTTTCGATTCGGCATAAAGCGAAGTAAATGAAATTGTGCGAAGCTATAAGGATTAATAGGATGTGTTGCGAGATCAAATTTGAACGTCAATACGTCAATGTATGAACGATCTTATAATATTACAGGGTATCTATTCCCTGAAAAAACAGTAAAAAACCTGGAATTCTTACGGATCTTTTGTACCTGGAACAAATCAAAGACTTCTCATGAGATTTTATTGAAACTCTGGAAATTTTTTAAAGAAATTCTTTCTTTTTGATAATTTTGCTCTCATATTGTAAAAAGTCCGCAAACCAAATGAATTATGCGTTTAAAATATATTATAAATATACGTATATGTATCACTGTTCGTATATTCAACATCTTAACAAAATATTAAATATGCAATATATATTTTTTATTGTA